AACATTTTCTAAAGTTAATTCCACCAATTTTCGCTTCGATATCGCAAAAAAGGAAAATTCCATTTCTGTTAACACAGTCTGAACTCAAATTCAAGCACAGTACTGATGGAGTTAAAACTGTGTCTTCTGCAAAACTGTAGTCCAGTTAAGGGTTCAGCAAAAGAATGCAATGCATTCCAATGATGGGTTCAATGTCCATAAGATAATCCTCCAGAGAGGAGGCATTCATCAGTCAGAAATTCAAAATAATAAAATATGTAATTGAAAAAGTTTCCCTGAAAAGCGTCGAAGTTAAGTGCACGAACCTGTCCAACTTACAACAAAAGGGGTGACCAAGTTCTAGGATAAAGGGGTGTCCAAGATATAGGATGTTGTGGACATGTAAAATTATAGGATATTCGCCGGTTCCAATTAAAAGTGTCCAATATAAAGGGGTGTCCAACTTGAGGGGTTTTACTGTAACTGCAGATAAGGTGACCCATGAGAACACAAAAGTATCTAAAGATGAGTAAATCAACGATGATATACTACATATGTTATGTATATAGTATTTTAAATGACAAACACGAGCGCGTGCGGGTGACGTCACATGTCTAGAATATTTGTAGCTATTCTAGTCACTCTGAATGCAAAACACGAAGGACTGGACTGCAGGACTTGAAATGCTGCCTAGAACAGAAGCCTGAGATAAATGTTTTCAGCAAGGTGACACTCGGAACACCAAATGAAGACTGGTTTACTGCATGCAGCAGTGGTTCTCAACCCGTGTGCCGCGAGCTTCTGCCAAATGCGCTGCGAGGTTTTTAAGAGAAGAATGATTCCATAAAATGAAATATGCAAATTAAAACATGAACGTATTGTTAATATCACTTTATTATCCGTGATTAATTTTGGCATAACAATAAACTTGTATTCGCAACTTGGAAACAGAAATTAGTGACAATGGTGGAAGCAGTTACTGTTGGTGGTGGTGGTATAACAACAAAGGCTATAAAGATTCATCACCCCCGTCCTTGCAGCAAATGATTTTTTACGGACTCTGTTTTCTGTCAGGAGATACCACGAACAGTAAACATAATACATTTGTATAAGCAAGGTTTTGTATAGGTCGCGCGAGTAGTCGTGTCCACCTAAATGCGCGATGTGTAAGCCGAGAGAGGGGAGTTCAGTAGTAGGGGAGGGGGTCGCACGGCCTCAGCTGCGGTGACGCACCGAACTAAACACAGCTAGAGCTACAAACCAACTGAAGCTGACACCCCTCTAGCGCGTGCTTCGGACGGGTCCATCTCGTAGTGTCGAAACTTGAGATTAAAGTTGTCTTTTAATTTGTCATTTGTTTAAGTTCATCAAAGATATTTGTTTCTGTGAATGCGACTGTCTCCTGGGTTATTGCGGTGTGTAGTCCGGAGAAGTTTTCCGACGTTTCAGAGGTGCTTACTCCCTCCATCAGGGCAATCGCCCTGATGATAGTATCCCAGAAGAGTCATCTTATAATTACAGTTAACATTATACTACCATAAGTGAAATAGAACACTATATAATTTAGTATCTCTGCAAAACAGGTTCGGAATGTGGGCCGGGCTACAAGAGCCCCCTGGACGCGATGCAGAATGGCCCTCGCGAGAAGCTGTTGTACATCCCCTGCATACAGCCGTCTCCTCAGGAGACACATCGCTCAGATTACCTGGCCACAGTGGATGTGGATCCACAGAGCCCCACCTTCAGCAAGGTGAGAGACAGCCAGACACGTGGTACAGCGGTTGGCACTCCTGCTTCGTATCTGGAAGGCCCTTTTTATGAATCTCGCCCAGTTACCGACTAAATCAACAATCCTCATACATTTACTGTTCCTTCAGATAAATAATCCGGTCAACTCTCTCGTATATAACTCATTAACACGGATTCCATGTCCATTTGTAAAATAGTTTCGAATATATTGAACTGGGAGTCGTGGATAACTGAAAATGGGCAGTCACCCAGCTTAGGGAGTGGACTTAAAAGCAAAAGATGAAGCTGGCCAACGCACCATGTCATATTGACTTATAGGATTAGTGGAGTTAAATCTCCATATATTATAAACCTCGGAACCAGACTCTTATGATAATATTTCTCATCAATCTTTCTTTCCCCAAATTTTATCAAACGTACGTCTGTCGTTGAATATCATAGAATTTAATCCCTAAACCCAAGAACATTTGTCGAATTTCCCGTATTAACACTGCGGACACACTGCTAGTCTAAATAACATTTAAACACTCAGTTCTTGCTTTAAAGAAAACCCAATGCGTCTCCATTACAAAGATCATTTGATTTTTATTGTTTTTTATAAATAATCGTTTATACTGAGACTCATGTAAAAATCATAAATACACTCTGTGCGAAAAACGCAGAGTTGATTTATGTTATCAGTAAGCTACCACTGTGCTTCAAAGAGTTAAATAAATAGTATGACAAGATTCGTTCATGAACATGAGACGATCCAGTGGCGGGCTCTGTGAACACAATAATGGAGCTTGGGGTTCAATAAGAGGAAATTTAACCACTTATAACCGTGCTGCAGGTAATCCACCGTCTCAACATGCCCGCGGTGGGCGACGAACTACACCACTCAGGGTGGAACGTGTGTAGTAGTTGTCACGGGGATTCCTCCAAGAGGCGAGACAAATTGGTGCTGCCCTCCCTTGGCAGCGACCGCGTCTACATCGTAGACACAGGCACTGACCCTAAGACGCCCCGTCTCCATAAGGTATTGTTTATTACATGTACCTGTTCAGCTAAGACTGATTTATTCGTTGACTGCACTGAGGAAAAGTTCTCTTTTGTGATGGTAAACCCAGTGAGTTACAGTCCATGGTCAAATTTATGGCAAGCAGTTACTTGAATTCAAATGTATTGATAAGACCTATTATTGTAGCCGCGTTAATAATTAGACTGTGGGTAGGATGACCAGACTTTGATTCCCGGCAGGATTAAGGGAGCAAATGGCCGAATCATTCACCTCCACCTAGAGAAGGTTAAGGTCCTCTTCATGGAACAGGAAATGCACATATCGATATTTCCTACGACCCACATCAGCGATTTTCGCGGCCGCCATTTTGGCTTATTAGTAGCAGAATTAGAAACAGATCTTTGCAGCACATCGGTCTTGGCAATGTTTTTCTTGGTCCATAAGTAATGAGGAGGAGGAAACCAGACATCAGATACCAAGATTCTACATAAATAAGCAGAAGGATCAGTATCTGGGTGACGTATGATGTAACCATCCTCGTATCTCCCGAATGAAAATCTGGATAGAGCAGGGGTTCTCAAATCTCGACCCGCCTATGTGTTTTATGCGGACATTATACTGTTTTTGTAACACTGAACCAACCTGTAATAAGAGAAACATTTACCTGACACCAGAAAACATGTTTTGGTAGTGCCTGTCGCTTGAAATAATTGTTCAATTTTATGAATAACGTCAAATGAAGACCTAGGACCAGTGTTGCTGATGAACTCTTCATGCGGATCGCAACAACAGAAATAAAATTTAATGATGAAAGATCATTTTCGCAAAGCAGTGTCGAACATCTCACTAATGACAGATTTTGTCAAACAAAATTATTGAGAAACATGTAAACCAGGTCGAAACAGTACGTTAGTAGAATTTTCAACAAACTGAACAGTTTCAGTAAAATGTCATCATTTATATCCTGGCGTCCCATGAGTCGATAAGGAAGAACGAATGTGGTCGAGTTTAAAATCGATTACCGCTACACCAGCCTTCTTGATGTTCCATTTCCTGTTCCATCTGAAAATAAAGGCCTCACGACGGGAATCAGCCTTCAGTTGTCACGCTGTTTGTGTGGCAGGTGATCGAGGGCGAACTGCTCCGGGCGCTGAATGTCTCCACACCCCACACGACGCACTGCTTGGCGTCTGGAGAGATCATGATATCTGTTCTGGGAGACAAGAACGGAAATGGCAAAGGCGACTTCGTACTGATAGACGCTCACAGCTTGGAGATCAAAGGTAGGCAACCCCATTCTACGCCACTCCGCCCACACCCATTCCATTAACTCACGTATCCACTCGTTCCATTAACTTGCTGACCTGATGTCACACTAGACGTGAAACCCAACACAACAGCAAACACGATGAAGAGCATGACAGTCGCATGAGTGGTTTCCGAGTTACGCGGAAAACTACAGAAACCAATCTGTTCGTGTTTGTTTGCGCTCAAGGAGGAGAAATATAAAATAGCAGCCCTCTAGTCCAGCTGATAAGAAATATTCCCCCTGCACCGCACCAGAAACGATTTTCCCCCGCAGGGCTTTTCCCCTGGTCTGTGGACAGTACTTAACCGCCACTGGAATGATTCTGTTTGTGTAAGCCATGAGTCATTCTTGGGATGTCTGCATCAGATCACCGACTGGCCTTCGTATTGCCTTACCACATTTTTTCTGCAATGTGGTACAGTACCAAGGTCGATAAAGGTGACTTCGCTGGCAATGATGTGTTTGTAGTGGGAACTTTTATGTCTTATCACAAAGTATACAATCATGGCAGCGGAGTTGTAGATTCATAACCGCTAATCCCAAAACTCGGCACTGGACACATCCCACAACTTATTACCGAAAACTATATCTTAATACAATGAGCCGGGATAGCTCAGTCAGTATTGTGACTAGCTACGGACTGGACGACCGGGGTTCGATCCCCGACGGGCAGCTTCTGAAATACACACTAACCAATGGAGTAGGCAGAGCAGATTCGTGCAGCGGAATCATATGCCCCGAATGTCTGTAGGGTTACCATTCTCCTGACTTTCGTAAGTCTTTCTTCAGGTTAATTCCGGGTCGAATGATTTCCTCCCACCACTTTTGTTTCCGTACAGACGAGCTGATATCTCACAAAACTTACATACGCGAAATGTTTCTGGTAATTTTTAAGCATTTGTTTTTAAAACTTACATAATCAAATTAGTTAAATGGACACTTCACCCCTCTTATACAGCGATTAGTACCGGCGCGTGGATATCCTCCATATTTGCTTTCCACGTGTTCATCGCCCTCTAGCGTGAGCGAAGAACACCTTATGGGCCCGTCCATATCTGTCCGTCTGTCTGTCTACAACGATTTTCTAAGTACTAGACAACCCTCATGACAACTCATTGTAGTAACACAGTGGTGCAACAATGTAAAACGATGTCAGTGTTGGAACACTTATTTTTTATTTGTAGTGTTCTGTCTGACGACAGGTCCATATGAACAGGATCCTTCCATCCTTTTCTCGGACTGGGACCTGTTCATATACGTTCTTGGCAGATGATCCAGAAGTGGTTTGCCATTGCCTTCTTCTGTGTGTGAATGGAGTAATTGTTGGGATGCCACGGAGAAACCGGGGAAGCCCCGGATTAACCTCCGTGTTGCCTAGACCACGGCCTTGCCCAACACAAGTTATAAATTCGGGCACCGCCGGGAATCGAACCCGAGACGCCAGGCTTCGAACCAAAATCATTGAACACTTAGTAGTGTTAACCGTGGTAATTGTTGGCCCACATTGTTATAACAATGATAGATCAGATTATTGTGGGAATTAAGATTAATCCTAGAATTGTTCTTTATCACTGTTGCCTTGATTATGTTTTCGGTGCCCTGCTGATGTCAATACACGTGATGTGGAGTGAGGAACTCATTAGAAATACTCCAAAGAGTACACACAATGTGATTTGACTGGAAGGAGCGTGTTGTAAAGGTGACTAAGATGACGAAATAGTTAGCAGGCTGGTTCTAAAATACCAGCGTTTCCCGTATTTACCTTTTGATTACATCTTGTTATGATGACGTGATAAGTCATTCCGAAAGACGAGGACATACAAGTCTTCTATTAACACATATTAAATTTAAACTCAGAATTGCCAGACTGTATCTTCGATCGTCAAAGCTTCAAATACAGATTTTCGCCACGCTAGAGTGTTACCAAAGCGACACGCTCTGACCTACAGAAATATACTTTGGTGTATTTTGCTTGACGTAACATTTGGTTTACCACGCCTGAACCATCTCACTCACTCACTTGTTTTGATCAGGTTCGTAACATTCTGATATGAAAACGCAGCAGCGCTGTAACAAATAATCGACCACAATCTGAAAGCTTGACCTTGAGCCGATTCAGCTGTCGCTCGGGCCTATACTCCAAGCTGAAAATATAGTCCCAGTCTCCAGACACCAACATTTAATTCTTTGCTTTTACGTCTGAATAAAATCACAAGAAACTGGTACCAGAATGATAGGTTTGTTTGCATACTAACCCATGACCGACCATTCAAGGACAAGGTTTCAGGTTCAGGCACGTACCTATCTTGTTTCAGGTTTGTGGACGAAGGGCGAGAAAAATGCCAAATTCGGTTACGACTTCTGGTACCAACCGTACTGGGATGTCATGATCTCTACAGAATGGGGTGCGCCGAAGAGCTTCAAGAAAGGCTTCGCCTTGCCCGACACACAGGACGAAGGTAATAGTTGCGGCCACGAGAGGCGTTCAAATCACATCGGTAGGAAAACAGATGACGGACGGGGCGAGAGGTACAATATTATAGCCTCCACAATCGTCAGATCAGACACCCCTTGATATCTATTTACGGAGTTTTACAAAGGATGAAAAACTTATCAGCCCCACATTAAGGACAGCATTACAGGAAACAGTGAACATCAAGAGTTACGTCCTCATAGAAGTGTAGTACTCGAAGGGCATAGATAACGTTGAATGTTTATGTTGCAAGAACAGCGGAAGAATATACATGAATCGTTGACATTCACCATATAATTTGCAAATGGCATGTGTGTTGCAGACCTGTACGGACGATCACTGAATGTCTTCTCTTGGAACGAACGTCGCCTACTACAGACGATCGACCTTGGTCCCGAGGGCATTGCCCCATTGGAGATAAGGTTCCTGCATGATCCACGGCAAACACAGGGCTTCGTGGGTTGTGCGCTGTACGCCAATGTGTTCAGGTCTGTACCGTGGCCTGTCTGCTCAGAGCCAGATTACAGTACAACCTGTCTATAACGGAACATTGATCTGAAGGTATTCTGCACTCAGTCGTGGCAAATGTGACACCGATTAAACGACATGCAAGAAAGAGACTGGCTAAATCGGAACCAGCATCTGAATAAAAAACCTGTCCAAACCAGAACCTTTATAAAATGTTACAAGCTAAAAATTTGTATTTAAAAAAAGGCTTCTAATTAATGACTTTCCACAGGTAGTAATTTCTGTTTAAATAGTACGTACAGTAAAATTATACTGCAATAAAACCTGAGTTAAACGGGATCTGTATTATAAAGTATCTTAACGCGAAACCTGTCTTTTATGGGGCATGTACATAATGGCATAACATACAAGTCTTTTCTTCATCGGTAATTTCTTGGAGAAAGGGTCTTAACTATTAAATTTACATAACGTTCACAATTTATCCGCACACTGCAGAAGCACTTAAAGAAAATATTTGACAATTTCTCAAGAAGAGCTTCGTCGAGTATTTCGAAACATGTTAACGAGATGTGAAGTCGCTTGCAAGCACAAGGAAGTCACTTTGAACATCTTTTGTGGTTTAAGGTAAAACAATTAATGTAATAACATGTATTAGTGACGAGAAATATTTGTAGTTCGTTGTTACTAGCGGCACTGAAACTGATATGCCGGCACCCACCGGAAGAACGCGCACAACACCCGCCCGCCGGCCGACCACGCAATACAAGCACGACCGCAGCCTCATAAATTGTAGACCCGGTACAACATAACCTGTATAAAACAATGTCAACACATCGCTAATCTGTTACGTCATTCAGAGTGATACGTGTGGATCCTGTTTACGGTTTGCAGGTTCTTCCGTGAAGAGGATGGGAAGTGGAACGCGGAGCTCGTGATCGACGTCCCCGCCAAGCAGGTGGAAGGCTGGGTGCTCCCGGAGATGAACGGTACGTAGCAGCCCCTTATTCTGTCTCTGTGGCACTGGACCGCTAACGGACCTGCTGTCTCCATCCCTAAGATGATGCAAGAGCGAATATGGAGCAGTGATGGAATGACAAGGGAAAATCAAAGAACTCGGAGAAAGACCTGGTCCAGTGCCACTGTGTCCACCACAAATCAAACGTTGACTCCTCCAGAAGCAAATCGCCGCGAACAGCCAGCGACTAACCGTCTGAGCTATGAAACTGCCGAGAACTCCATTTTCATGAGATCCTAAATGTTTGTCGGAAAACAGTTTCGAAACCTATGCTCAGATGAGAGAATAATATTAAATTAGATCAAAAATACTACGATTCTGGGATCTTGTCAATATGATAAAAGACCTTCGAGTTCCCAAAAATTGCTTGGAATTTTATCAGCTGAGCGACTAGCAGCTTATGAAGATGGGCTTTGCTCCATGGGGTTGGATAACGTTGATTTTATCATCCTAAAATATTTCGTGAACATATGAATTATGAAGTTCCTCATTATGTAATTTTCTTTATTTTCCTTTCACGTGGGTTTAAATGTTCGTCTAACACTTCTAATCGTCGTCAGTTTTTACGTTACGTGTCTTTTCAAAATGAATCACCGTGGAAAGGCGATATATCCATCTCTCTCTATGGAATATTAATTCAGTTCCAGAAATGTTATTTCAGTTTTCTATCTCATTATCCAGCCAAAGTTACGTTCATTGCCGCCATTTTCTGCAGAATCCTCATTAATCAAACGAAGTAGGGACTTTGCATCGCAAGAATTTAGAACTTGCACTTGTAAAGCTTTTTGCTTGAACTAATGATAGGCACATTTCGCGCGATAACCCCACGGAAAGAAAAGTTCGCTGTTTGCGATAGAATATAAGAGACACAGGCCAATATAAACATTTCAGTCGGCAATAAGACGTCTTGCTAAAGTAAATGCTCTGTCTGGTACACTCCAAGAACTGATCAAAAGACTCATCACTGTCATAACAAAATCCCGTCGTTGTAACAGAACCTGGTCCATTTCAGTCTACTTCACATCTTTACAGCTTATTAACGTTTATTTTAGTATCACGAACGATTGCACGCCTACTGGCCCAAGCTGAGTCATCCATGATGTTACGTTTTCAGATCGAAATTCGTATGCTCAAAGTTGGTCTCTCAAATAAAAAGAATACAGACAAATGACGTCTGATTGGAAGAAACTGAAGAGTAAGTGACAGGAGAATGGAGAAAATTACATAATGAGGAACTTCATAATTTTCACTCTTCACCAGATATTATTAGGGCGATTTAATCAAGGATTACATGGGTGGGACGTGTAGCAGGCAATGGTCTAGAGCAGTGGTATCCAACCTGGGGTACGTGAAATTTAAAAAAAAATATTATTTTATGATAAACACTGAATAATCAGTAATGTAATTTATTTAATTTATTTTGGATGTAGATTATATACTATGTATAACTTGAATTATACACCAAAAACTTTGGGGGTACAAAGTTGAAGAGAAATTATATCTGGGGGTACGCGAACAAAAAAGGTTGAATACCACTGCTCTAGAGAAATGCATGCAAAAATTTGGTCTGAAAACATGATGGGAATAAACACTTGAAAGACATAGATGTAGGTAGAAGGATAATATTAAAATAGATCTGTTTCCATGAAAAGGGGAAGGTGAAATTTATTACAGGGATGTGTCACTGTCAACAGGTCTGATGTCTGACATCCTTTTGTCTCTGGACGACCGTTACCTGTTCTTCAGCAACTGGTTGCATGGAGACGTCAGGCAATATGACGTGACTGACCCCAAACATCCGCGTCTAGTGGGGCAGATCTTCCTGGGAGGCAGCGTACAGAGTGACGGACCAGTCACGGTCACAGGCGACAAGGAGCTCAAAGTCAGTACTGCATTAAACGACATTATGCCAGCAACTTAGGTTAAGTAGCGTCAACCGAATAATTACAGAACGATTCATCCATTATTCAGTTACTTAATGACGCATTCGCGACAACACTTGCTACGTACCGCTCAATAAATGTACGGTGATTAGTGAACAGTGAATAATTAAATTATTCTAGTAACAGTCAATATGTGCAAGGAAGCGGTCGTGACATGTTTTAAGACATGTTATTTAACATTTGCCAGAGGGAGTGAGGGGAAACCACAAAAGTCCTCATTGAAAGTAGACGGTCATGTGGTCGAGAACTCATCCCGGTACCTACAGAATACGTAACAGGATTTTTATCAGCAGTGGGACTCCGGAAACAAATCCCACCGACTTGAATTTCCTCAGCTGCCCCTCCTTGAAAAATAATTCGAGATAACACCTTACAAGCTTGTACAGTTTCTCAAACACCAAAAAACCTCAGTTATTCTCAGAGCGTCTTTATATAATCCACTCATTAATGACATTTATCCTTTAAAACACGTGATCCGAAAGTCAGGGCAGATTTTAAATAGATCGGGCTTCATTAGGACTTGAATAAGAGGCAGTCGGTCTTTGGGGCGGGCCCAATGGTCAGCTCCGATAAAATTCTAACATTTCGGCGTGTGCTCGAGCAATGAGCATGGGACCAGAGGTACACTGCTCATACTTGGGAGGCAGTGGCTTCAAATAACTGCCCTGGTTATTCGTGGTTTTCCTCAGACCCTTCAGGCAAGTAACTTTGTCATCAGTTCCTCCACAGTTAACAGTCATATGTCTGCATTAATTGTGAAACCTAGGCTGACCAGCTTGCAGTAGCCATTCAATTCAATTCAATAGTCGGAGAGTCTTGTGCAGTCTGTTGGCACGGTGTGTTTGCAGGAACAACCGAAACCAGTGTTCCACAAAGGACAGCGCCTGTATGGGTCTCCCCAGATGCTACAACTGAGTCTGGACGGGAAACGCCTCTATGTCACTTCCTCGCTCTACTCGCCGTGGGACAAGCAGTTCTACCCGGATGTAGTGGAGTAAGTATCACTTCCAGACATAAGCAATGATAACGCCAAGTTTATTGTGTTCCGCCCGACGTATCTGCGATCATGTATAATTTCGTACTCCCTTTTCACGCGGCGAAATCCTTCCTAATTTACCTTACATAATTATCCTATCATCTGACACTACGTATGCGCGAGGTAGTGCCGTTAAACAGATTATGATGATGTCTTCTGGGATGTTTCGCCATTTATCCTTGTAGAAACTAAGCGACGTTGCTACCAGACTCCACGGCGCAACACCCCAGCAGGCAGTTATCTCCACTTGCTGCCATGGAAACCTGATATGTCACTTAAAATTGTGATGGTTCGTGTTTCAGGAAAGGCTCGTTTTTGGTGAAGTTGGACGTGGATACGGAAAAGGGCGGCTTGACCCTTAACCCTGAGTTCCTCGTGGATTTCGGAAAGGAGCCGGAGGGTCCCGTGCTGGCGCATGAGATCAGGTAAACAATGTCATTCCAGCTGTAAGGTAACAGAGTCCTTGCGCAGCCAATTGCAAGCTTCAAGGACACAGGACTTCACCCCCCATTTACCGCGCAGCCCTAAGTCAACATGGCCGGGTTACTTGACTTCGGTACTAATTCTGAACTGTCTAAACTCGCCTGTTCATGTTGCAACGTTGTGCGACTTTACTGTGACCTTGAAGTATTCAATTTTATGGCGGCTACTATAGAGTTATTTCGTGCAAAATCCTGAAGTATTACGTTGTAAGAGAAGTTGGAATACTAAGCAACTTCTGTGAAAACGATCGTGTCACAAACTGGACTTAGCTTTTCCAGTTCGTGGCTATAACTGATGAAATCACTCGGAGTTGACACGTGGAACTTTGTATAACGACAGACCATAAACACGCAAATTTCGTAAGAAACTTTCGTGTTTATTCAGTAATTATAAGTGAGGCGACCGAGCGATTTAGTCGAAATCTGTACTAGAGTTATTTTTTTTTATTTGTAGTGTTCTACGGCAGATCCACAAAATATTGAAATCAAATATTAATGAAGACGTACGGGAAGCCTAATGATTTGTAATCTTAGCCATCCTCTCATAAAGCCACCGAAGAATTTGTCCATTCACATATCCATAAATGATATGTCCCACTTTCCTCATTTTGTAAACATAAATATGTTTAAGTAGTTATCTTGTGCACATATACGAGATGAATACAAAGGCATTTAAAGAATTCAATGCAACAGGATCCAGAACCTCGTTCATCTGCTCAGGGACGTATACGCCTTCGATGGAACCAAAAGTTATAGTTAGAAAGAGCCTGCCAAAATTCCATGGTCCTGTGTAATATTTCTTAAAATTATATTTTTTACGATCAAAGTTTCTTAGCCGCCACCCACAAACCCCAATGTCGAGGATCGCCCCTTCTCAGCCGTCAGCTACTGTCCTGCTGTCCACCATACGATGTCAACATGGGACACAATGAATATTGTGTTATTTTATTTAGTGTTCTGTCTGACGACATGTCCATATGAACAGGATCCTTCCATCCTTTTCTCGGACTGGGACCTGTTCATATACGTTCTTGGCAGATGATCCAGAAGTGGTTTGCCATTGCCTTCTTCTGTGTGTGAATGGAGTAATTGTTGGGAAGCCCCCGGAGGAAAACTCCGTGTTGCCTAGACCACGGCCTTGCCCAACACAAGTTATAAATCCGGGCACCGCCGGAAATCGAACCCGAGACCCCCAGGATTACAAGGCCAGCGTTCTAACCGCTAGACCACCGTGGCACGGTGTACTAGAGTACGCATAAATTAATCAGGAAATGTTATAGCCTAATTAAAGAGCTTGTATTGGTATTTGCTTGCGCGCCATATACAATGAAGTAATTGAAGGCGAATCCTGCCCCATAGATCTTAAAAGAAAGACGTGGTTCATTTGTTTGCGTCTGAATCGCGTGACGCACAAGAGCACATAGAATTATCTGCAACCCGATTATGTAAGCTTCTTCAAGGTAAAACTGTAGCACATGGGAATAAAACAACCCCATCTTAAATAAAATCTCAATTACACAAAAGCATGCCCGTAGAAACAGGAAGAGAATAGGGGGTGAATTTTACCCTCTGGCGGCACACATGTGAAAAGCACTTACAGCGGAAGTCCCTTCACGTGGGAACGTCTCTGGTGCTGTCTGCGACGGCTTTGTGTTATGACTGCAGCCAATTAACGGGAATGTTATATGCGCGCTTTCAACCAAGTGCATGAAATGAACGCACAAGAGGGATTGTTCATACACCCGTATATCAGTATGTTTCGCCGTTAATGTACCTAACCACTTCTGCGGAAAAATGTGATAGTCATTTGCAGTTAAGAAATGCCCCCAAGATTTGTTACCGTGTTCACAGCAGCGCCACTGGTCACTATACTGAGCTATATGAATCCCGTTCATACACTCAAACCCTAGTTTTAAGGCGCCTTAGAAACTTAAATGTTCAAAAAACACGCCTATCTGCTTCGCCACGTCTGCATTAACTCGAGGACCGCTAAAGGGATTTTCACATTTGATTTGACAGTTGGGAGTTTTACGAAAAATATGTCGACACATTCAAATGTTATTTAAAATTGAACATCACTGACGTACACTTTACATGAAGTTGCGTACACGCCTCTGCGTGTGGAATTGATTGAGTGCGGAATACTCAGCCCGCGCCATTCACGAAGGTCGAAGGTTAAATTCCTGCAAACGCTACAGAACTGTTCCACTATGCGTGCGCTCCCAAATTTGTTAAGATTAATATTATCGTCCCATCTACACCTAGGTCTTACAAGATGTGTTCTTTCTCCAGTTCAGGTTCTGAATAGAATCCCTCCCATCTGTCACACCTTCCCCGATAACACTGCTATTAATAATATTTGCTGAAGGGTACAAGATATGAAGCTACTCACTAACATGGGAATGTATGTGTACTCCACGCTGGAGTACGCATACTTTCCTTTGTTGGTGACTTAGGAAAGTGTTACAGTTCATTTCACCGAAACAAAATATAATCATCAAACCACACAACACAAAATTCCATTGAACTGCTTTGAAAATTAAATATATCGACCGACAGATGGACCGTTGGATGGTAACGATCTCACCATTATTATCGCCGGAATTTTAGTATATTCACTCATTCCTAGCTGCACTTCCTGTGAAAATCTTCAGTAGTCCCCATCTTGAAGATTGGCTTATGGGGTGTTACACTTTTTGTATGGCAAACTTATACCAGACTACACGATACAACCACCCAGAACACGAGTCATCTTCATACTCACTGTCCTGAGAACCTGAAATCACATCATTCCCCACCCTCTCGGAGCATCTCCATGTCACAGAGGCGTAAAGTACTTAAACAGGGGGTTGGAATTAAAAAGTTTTCGTAACCCGAAAGTCTCAACTGGTCTGTATAGAGAAACAACACTTTCCGACGATCTGAGTATATTATCTATAATCTGACACATGATCATATAATCGTATGATTTATAAATAATCGTGTTCACTCACCGAATTGCAGCGTAGTCTTCATTTTTTTATTCTCGGAACAAATTTAAAGCACACACAAAACATGAATTTCACCTGTTGTAATACGTGGATATGCAAGTGGCAGTCAAGTGGTTAGCATTATTTATTTGTATCCGGAAGGTATCGGGTTCAAATCTCAGTCCAGAGACAAGCTCCTTTGGGTTTCCGCGGTTTACCTCCGTCCGTCCAGACAAATTTTCGAGATACCATAAATTACATCACGATTGCTTCCTTACATATCCCTTCCGGTTCATTATTAATTAAGCATCGTATAATTTGACGCTGCAGGCCTATAGTATGAGGTACTGACAGCGTGGATAAATAAACCACAAATAAATAAGTCGTGTATCTCGCCCTAAGGGAAGAACATATAAAATTAGGGTGTTTGAGAACAAAGTCTTGAGGGCAGAGTTCTGAAGTATCAAGATGACGGAAAGAATTAAGGACTTTCGTAACGTGTACTCTTCACGTAACAGACAGCTTTTAGGACGCTGAAATCAAACAGGGTGAGAGGGGCGGGAAATGTAGCACGTATGACACGTGACAAATGCTTACATTTTGATTGGTTAACCCAAGGGAAGAGGCACTTGTGGGGGGTGATTTGGTGTGGACAGTTCGACCTGTGAGTGACAACAGCTTCTGAAGGGTTCTACTCAATGCACTTAAATATACGAAGATTTTCTGAGTTCTTCCATAACATTTTCAGGGCACTCATTTTGACCGTGGTGGTCAAAATGAGTGGCACTGGCACAGATAGCTGGTGAAGTTTACGTCTGACACTGTCTCTTTTGCACTGAGGGTAGATTCTATAGCTCTGCTAGTAAAACAAAGTGGCTATAAGACAGTCCCCTTGCCGAAGCACTGTTAACGAGTTTCCGATACGTAAGAGTCCAGACAAACTACGACGCTCACTCTGTAGGCGACCAGTCAGAAAACATTATGTTAATTCTATCGAGTTCGGAGGATAATCCCTTAATGAATCACCACGCCACGAAGGCGCATGAGAGAGTGGAGGTACAGCTTCGCTCATTTTTAACCTCGGCACAAGTTGGGAGTGAGTTCAATTTCACGCTTCGGCAGGATTTCCCCTGCGGTGAGAGCCTCCGGTAACCATTTTGTAGGTGGGCCCTAAAAAATAATCTTTCCTGATCGTACAGTCCGTAGTCTAGTAAATGCACTCGCTGATCTATCCCGCCTTCAGACTGGTCTGAAAGAGGCCTCAGAACCGCTGAAGTCGCGAAGACAACCAGTAGGGAGATACGTTTATCCTTATGGCATACATTTTAAAAAACACATAAAATAGTACTTTAAATATTAATAGTGGGAAGGAACACGCTGTCTATGTTTCATAATCTTGAGAAACATTAATCTACAGTATCTGGCAATGCAGAAAATTAACCTTAATGCACGATGCTCCGATAACACTGAAGTAAACATGTGATACAGTAGGGACCAGGTTACTCGCTGTGGATAGCTGCACTCGGCACGGCCTGGTCGGTGCACGGAACGGCCGGGTAGAACGGGTAGGAAAAGCGTGGAGGTGCGCGCGCAATGCTTATCACCTTGCTCTTCCCCCCGCGTCAAGAACTCGCAAGTAATATGGTCCTTACTCATGTGACAGAACATAATTGAAGAATGATTGATTATTCCAGATACCCCGGAGGAGACTGCACTTCAGACATCTGGCTAGTCGAAAACGAAACGAACTGAGGAATGTCACAGAGAATACGAAGAATGGGTAACAGCCCCGTTGTAATTTACTCGAGTCCTGGGCGTGTGTGATTTGAGTACTGCAAAGTAGTTCGTACTCAGCGCTTAACAGAAGGCGTTGAGAGTACGCGATTAGTCAGAAACATAACCCCTGTTTAGAGTTCTTGCTTTTCATTAAACGTGTTTTTCAAATCGGCAGAAATTTTTAAATTCTCATGCGCTCTGTTTACCTCTAACGAGTCTTCTAAATGAAATTTACCTCAGCTGAACCAGATTATTCCCATTATGTTGCGAAATTACGATGCACTTCTACGCAGTCTATAATTTCTCAAATAAATTTTGTTTCTTGTTCTGTTGCTTACAGTAAAATGGTAAATATATATATTATCAGATGTATTGATTATGGTTATAAATCTTGTTTTGTATATCAATAACAACAGTTTTAAATAAAAATATTTCATGGTGTCTTTATATTTAATTGTCCACAGCAATTTAATTATTGACACGTTGGTATTGAAGAAACATGAGTTTAAATTTCCCTCAAATGAATCATCAAACATAATAATAACCTTAATTCATTCATAATTATACGGACATAAAAGGAAAATGTTAACAAATAAAACACGATTTTTTTAATCAGACAGACATTTCCATCTTGCTTCATAAAATAATCATGTAATTAACAATAGAGTGTTTTATAAAATGTTTTACAAGGTCCCTAGCTTGTAATTCGTGAGGTATAGCCATTGTCAAAAATTCAATACGTACTAAGATTGGACTTATTTTTGTTCTTGAAGACGGGTGAGACAAAACTCACTTACATAACATAAAACAAGCTAGGAAATTGTACTCCATACCGGAATACACATAATCCTCACGCGTTCTTTGCAGCGTGTATTTAGAGGTGTAATGCGCATTGTTCGAGAGTTACTACTTTGTCCAACAGATGCACAGCATTTCAGTTCCTACCTCTCGAATTTCTTCATCCGTCATTTTCTTACCACCTTTTGTAGGATATTCAAAAGTACGATTTTGATATCGTGCAGAACAGCACAACCTACATACCAAATTTCATCCAAATCCGCTGATTGGTTCTTGAGTTTAGTCGACTGGTAAGACAGACGGACGACCAGTCCATAATGCGTTCTCGCTATGCATTTTGCCTAAAGAACGTATAATAATTCCAGTCCGTACCGCGAAGAAGACACAACATTTCGCCATTACAAAGATCAGTTTTTTAATGCTGTGTAAGGAAAATCCCTGTTTAAGAGTATCATACGAACACGCAAAAAATTTGCAGATTTGCTTGGTTTGAAATATTCATTTGTAGGTACAGGGTATGAAAATATGTCCCAATGTTTGATTCTTTAACAATTTCGTGATTACAATACATTCTCCGTTCTTGGTATGAAAAAGTAACCCTTGAATTAGCAACCAAGTTTCAATGTCTGCTATCTTGGGACTCCAAATATCATGTCTTGCTGTAAAAGACATACAATACAAAGCATCAAAAATTTACCCATCTATCTTGAAGACTGAGGAAAACATTGGAAGGGAGAACTAGAAAGAAAAGTCAAATAAAATTATACAAAGTTAGGCAGTGCCAACATTAATTTATGCAGAGAGGCATCTGAATACTGTCCTAGTACACGGACAACAAATTTTATTGGCGGAACAAGTTTAAACCTAGCTGAGCGTAGTTGATAATTATATCACCACAGTCCAGCGAGCTGCATTTTGCCATTCCCTAGTCGGATGGACAATGTTTACGCACTTTAGAGTGGCGACAGTCACGTGTTTTGCGTTGCCTGGGACCCCGACAGCGCCATCTTATCTCCCAGGAACTACAGTCGTCTGGTCTCCCCAGCCAGACGACAGCAACTTCGTTTTAGGACGCGACATTGTCCACAACAGCGAGATCAGTTCCTCAGATGTTTTCGAGAATGAACTAAGAACACCATTATTTATTAATCCTTATGTCAGTGTTTTCGAAAGAAATGCTCACGAAAGTTTTCATCTCAAGAGATATTGCCTGGACGGAATAACGAATCAATTGTACAAGAACAGTCCTACAGATGATTACTAAACGTTGTGACACTTCTGTTATGCATTCGAGAGGTCTCGAACAATTCAAATGTCTGCTCGCCGATCGATATCTGTTGTTTTCCTCAGTACCTTCAAGAAAATTCTGTAATGCTACTTAAACATCTTTCATTCGACACTACACAACCACTGAAGTTGAAAAGAAATAATCAAATTAAAACATTATTACATAAATGAAGTTACGTGGAAAATCGGATGGATGAAGCACGAAATACACACAAAATTTTGATGCAGAAACTTCTTGTTTCAGCTGTAAATCTTATACAATGATATAGAATAAGGCAGACATCCATTGACACTCAAGGATTTGCAAGGAGGTATATGTAGCAAATGAACAAGCAACATTATCAAATTGCTCGCTTGGAGAGACACAGGAAAACCACGAAAACCTTTATTAGAGTTGAAATGTAGTGAAGACTTGAACGAGTACTGACACGAACCTGGTTGAAAATGACAGAAACGCCAACATTATAGTAACCGTTCAGAGATGGAGCTGGCTGCCAGTGTGTTCGCTTTCCCAGAAAGGTCAGTGGGTCTCTGATGAATGGAACAACGCTTCCTGATAGCTGCAGGCAATTCTAATCAGATTTCAGTGAATGGAAATAAAACTCGTACTGAAAGTTGGAGCCAGTTTGAGAAATAATATAATGAGCATGACAAAACAGAATTCTCATGTCTTTGCTTACGCCTCTCCATCACTCAGAAAACGATAGCAATCATCCAGTGAAGAAACTCCCTGGCGTTTATAGGATTCAAAGGTTTGTTCCATGTTCGCAAGAGCCAGTCACTGTACCAGCTGAATCGAGTCCACACTTCCACACCCTACTTCTTGAAGACCCACCTTAATACTGCCCTCCAAAAAGACATTGGTCTGTTTCTTTATGGTTTGCACACTAAAATTCTGTATGCATCACGCCATGCGTCCTACATGTGCCGCCCATCTCATCACATTGAATTTGATTACGCATATAAAATACTAGGACAAGATTACAAATTACGAAATGTCTTCATTGTACATTTTTTTCTGCAAGATCCAGATACTCTCACGTTTTTGAAAGACCTTAAATCTGTATTCTTCCAGGGCGAGAGGTGGATTTCGAAAAAAAAAAATGAAAGTGATTCCAAACACTTTTATGTGCTTATGCCAAGAGGCAGGACAGACTTCTCTCTCCTGAGCCCAGGTAAAAATTCACACGCACTGAAAGTTCAGTAAAGCAGACAGACGAGCGACGAGACAGCGCGCAAAAAGTTCTTCGTCTCCTGTAAACAACATGCAGGAAAATATGATACAAAATCAATACCGGAGCTGGCAACTTGTTTTCTCTAATTTGTTAGTGGAGAGGGTGGGGGCAAGGCATGGACTTATATAATAATCCTTTCGTATGGTGTTATCTGCTCCTCCGCTTTGTTGCTAGGCAACGTTTAGTTCATAAAACCATCACTGTGTGACGCCACATTGATTAATGTGAATGTATTACCGTTTCATAAGACAGGATTTACAGGAAAGCAAGTAGCAACAAGCAACAGGCGATATGAGAGAGACAATACGCAAATACCATCTCCTGTACGTTATCGAATGGCAATCAAATTGCTAGTTTGTGCAAATATCTGTGAATTAGGTGATAACGGAGAACGTTATCGCATGTTCTGCAGTTTGCATAAACCTCAATTCATTCAGAAAATATTATTCAACATTTTTCAATGGAACTGTTTATATTGACTCCGAGCTCGTCCGTTCCACGAACGAGTCTCTCCCGACTTACGTCTCCAACGATATTTTTCCCTAAACAGTTCCATTGAAAAACGTTGAATAATATTTTCTGAAAAATCGGCAAGGGCTCGTGTCGTGCTCGTGTCGTTATCTTCACGTTCCTATATAAATAGACCTTAAAAGTCGCCTGCCGTCGTTGAGCTGAACATAAGATGATTCGACGGATGTTGTAATAAGCCCCTTCCGATAGCAATAGGCGATAAAATTTCTTTGGACATGAATCGCCTGTCGCTGAACAATAACAATTACAAAATCGAAACGCCTCACATTGTAATGCTATAAGTTCCATCTGTGTCGCCTGATTCTTGTTGCTGGTTCATTCGCAAAATACAAATCTACAGACGCATTTCAAATCACAAAATAGGAAGTTAAACGCGGGCAATTGCACAGTTCGTTCCACAGCCGGTTAAACCGAGGCAGGAGTGGTTCCTCTCAGCAGGTGAGCGCAAGGCGCGTGGCCGTCTCTCCCTCTCTGTAACGGACACCCACAGAGAAATTAAACAATTACCCGTTCCCACTGACTGAGCAGAATCCTAAAATCCGGCAGGAGAGCTTTGCGTCGTAATGAAGTATCGTTCGAATTCAAGATGATAAAAGTATGTTCAATCACACTGTACAGAATCGAGTGTTAACTCTTGGATCATGAAGGCGTCATGCAGAAACCTGTTTCGTGGAGTCGGTTCTAGTGACGGACACTACTGACTGAAACATTCGGCAGTCGAATTTAATTATTCGAACGAACAGTTATAAGGCAAGGCTCGTACCCTTCCTGAATAAGTAAAGACCAGACTGCACCCTGGGACACAGGGCCACAGTCAACTACAACCCGGAAAATCCTTAACAAAAATTGAGATTTCTTTGGAACACCTTCCATTACATTACAACCAGCAGACTCCCCGGGCTCTCAACCCATCCAAGACAGTGCCAAAACCACGAAGAGAGGGCATAACATCTGTTGCTTTTCTTACCTTTTGTCGGTACCACTTTCAACAGCAACAGCAGGGTGTAGCACAATGTGAAGACGTTTGGCTACCCGCCACGGACACCCTGACCCAAGGAAAACAGGTACATACAGAATTTCCTGGGAATGTGGGACGGTGTACGAGTACACTGGATGAACTGTACGTTCCACTGAGAACAGGGTCAAGGCGTACCACAGGCGCATCCGTCTCAGACGTGGTTGTACACAGTATAAACCTGGGACATCGCATCAAGCCTCAGAATGCCAGTATTCTTGCCAAGAAATCCAGGTGAGCGAGAGAGATTCAATGGACGCAAAGATGATGGCTTCTCCCTCAGCAAGTCGCGGAAGCCTTTCATTCTACCCTGAAGGGACGAAAGCAGGCTGTTGTCGAGAACGTGGCACGCAATCGGACCTCGCCTACCTGTGGCATTTACAAGGACCTTCTACGAAATTTGTGGCCTGCAAGGACTTTCTTGAAAAATCCCCCTTTCCAGGCTCTCACTTTCGATTTCCCTGTTCCTTTATCCTCATCCTCCTCTTCTCATCTTTCTTCCCTTTGGCCCCAAAAGCATCTTAAACAATTATTCCATCTGCTAAACAGAACAGATGAAAAAGGTTCCTTCATAT